TATCCAGATCTATTGCCTTGTATTCTTTCCCTTGCGATTTGAAGCCTGCGTCTGTGGATAGCTTCGCCTTCTACCCTGATTTCTGTTAAAGCTGACAGAATTACAATAAGTGAAACAAGTCAGGATTCATCGCATACTTGGGTTCCATCGCATGTTATGTCGAGGAATTGGCCTATTCTGTGGCTTTTGGGCCTGCTTGCCGTTTAATCTTCTCGGCCAGCTTTATTACTAACTGAACGACTCCTGAGGGATAGAGAGCGGGAACATCTTGTCTTCAGATCATCTCTGGTTCATGCCCATGCTATAATCTGAATGTCTCGCTGCCATTTCTGGCAGCAGCTACGGATCTTTGTCCTTTTGGAATTGAGCGCATTGAGCTTGGACCATTGGAATGACTTATATTGACGTGCCCAAGCCCTGCCTGCATGAAAGTGGCTTCCATCTATAAATTCGAGGGGACCATTAATCTGGCAGTATTTTCTTGAAAACTGTCTCAATTTGAACGGTTTCAGCACAACCTCCTGGATCTCTCAATCTCCCAGCAATACGCTGAAGTGAAAAGTCAAGTCAAGTGAGTTACAAGCCGTTCCCTCTTAATCAACTGGCAGTTTGCATTTCTACAGGTCCTCAACCGTGCAGATGTTCGGATCTACTTCGATTACCGCTGATCCCGTTGGCTACTTCCAGGGCACGGCGTTTGTGAGCGCCCTTGCGCGAAAGGAAGAGAAGCTAGACAGCTCGGTTCGAGTGTGTGCCCTTACATCTGGCAATTCTCATCAGTGCAACTGACAATTCTAGATGTTTCAGCCGCTGAGCGTCATTAATATCCGAGATGTGCCGCTGCTTTCGTTGGAAATGAGGGTTGCGCAAGTCAAAGGAACAGCCGAGGAAGCGGAAGTTCGCGTCCAGCTCAACCAGATGTTACGGGTATGTACATACCAAAGCGAAAGAAAATTTGGGACGAGCTTTAGGATGGGTTTTTAACAAATTTGACCGATTCATTTTCTTCAAAGCTAACAATAATAGGAGCACAAGATGTATATCGTTCGTAACATGAACTATTAGGAGCAGGGGAGTAATAGAAATAGCAGTTTCCGGGGTATCCGTGCACTACATTGTACATACATAGGCCAGTTCATGTTACAAAACCCGCTATGATTCTAAATCAGATCATCGTACATTGGGGGCATCCCCAGCGGGAGGAAGTCCTATTCGCTCTGAGAAAAACCCGTTAACCAATCAATTACGCTATAGAAAAAGTCTTTATTGCTTCTGAGAGATATTCGCCAGCGCTGGGGATAATTGTTTTCACCTGTTTTTGAGTTTTACCTGTTTCCCTGCGTCACATGTGTATAACCCTCTCGCTTAGTTTGTGTCGTCAAGGTATACAAATAACTGGTCCTGGTATAACTTTCTGCTAGTGAAGTTGGTAGTTGGCTGCTGCTGAGGACCACTTCCTCCCCCCCCCTCTACAACCTCCCCTTAGTTTGAGGGGAAAAACCTGGACGTTTTGGGGCAAAAAGTGGTAGGAAGTTGAGCAAATGTGGGGAAGGGGGGGGGGGTAGGAGGGGAGGCCGCATTTTTCAAATTTCGCCAGTGGCAGAACTTGCCCTCTTCTAAATGGACCTTGACTGCTAGCAGCATCGTGAAAACTGATTAATCACCGGGGAAGGCTTTATTCTTCGGGCTTACCCGATGCACTGAAACTTCAGGCCGTTCTGCGGGCCGTCACAATACTGCCATCCTTCGATGTACGGCGGTCAAGTGTTACTCCCACTTAGCTCAATGATAAGGGGCAGGCCTGTCGAGGTGTTTTTTCCTCACCCTTCAACTTTTTTATGGCGCTCAGAAATCCTGTCATCTTCTAGTGTCTCACAAACTTCAGAAATGAATCAGTTCGAAATAGCAATGTTAGGGGTGTGCCCTGTGGCAGTATTCTTCACCAGTCTATCCCGAAAGCGTCTCTAATGAACCATCTCTATTTTTTGGAATAGCTTTTTCAAGCGTAGTTTATTTAATCAAACATGTTTTTATGTGCTCTTTGAGAAGTCTGACAAAATTGTTGAGAAGCTCGCTACTTTGGCTTCTTCCAAGATTTCTTCTCAGGATACCTACTCCTGGATCTCGCATTAGCTCCACTGATCGTTCTCTTATACGGGGAATTTGCACGGTGTGTCGTTTGCCGGCCTGACCGTTTGGCAAAGTGCCGTCTCCTTATCAGTGACTATGATAATGGAGACTTTGAGCGAATTTGACCGCTAAGCAACCTTAAGTTTAAAGCGCTTATTTAATCCTATTGTTCCCTATTTCTTCTGTGCCCCACCCCAACACGTGATTCATTATCCCCGTTCATTCCTCTCTAATGAGGGTGGGAATGCAGAGGCGCATTGAAAAGAATAAACAGCGGTGACTGACTGGTTCGTTTGGTCAAGGACCACTTCATTGAAACTACCCATGAAGTGAACTGGAAATTGCCCACTTCTCTCTCTGAGCTAAGGCTAAATACTAATTTCCTTTGCTGCTACTTCCACCACAACATCTCAAAAATTCGTCAAGTTCTCTTAAACTCAGGCAATGCTAGGCTTATCGTTTTAAAGGCAGTTGGCGACTATGTTTCCCCTCTTAGCCTAAATGTGTAGGCGGCCTGTATAGTGGGAAATGGGTGATAATGAAGCGGAGTAACACGGCAAAGCCGGTGAAGAAAGCCTCCGATTCTCCGGACTGTAATCGATTTCGGACGAGTTTCCCGTACGCATCTTGCCAATCACCGCTACCGAAGGTACGGCTGCATATGTGTACCCATATATGCATGCAGCATCACCGCCGCTTCATACCAATCCCTTTGCTTCATAATTTGCTCAGCAAATGAATGAATACGAGCGTCAGAAACGGTCGTCCGTTTGTGGGCGGGCAAGGAAGGCGTTTGGGACGTAAAGTTGTTGCTCAATAGGGCGTTATAGAGGTACCCTCCTTGGAAAAGGCTTCACGCAGCGCCTGTCCGAGGTCACGGAATTCTGTTAAGCCAGTTGTACAAATCCTACACCTGTATAGCGATTTATCGTGCCAACTGCCTTTAAGCTCTGGCCAAACCAAGGTTGTTGAGCAGCTAGTCACTTCTCCTCGCTTCTAAGTGTTTCCATTTTCGATGAAGTGTGACATGCATCACAGATTAGAATTAATTGAGCCGTTCCACGTCGTGATTCTTTCATGGTCAAATGGCTTACCACCAGTACCTCACCATCAGTGACTTTCTAAATGCTTACTGTGATTCCAAAACCTGAGTGATAAAGGGCGACGCACTTAGGCAACGTGGAGGAGAGGGAGAGGCTATTCGTACTACCGCTGCTTCCCATTGCCGAGCCATAAATTAGAGATTCGTGAAACTAGTGTAGCCAGTTGTGTTGTGTAGCGATACATGTAAAGGTTTGTAGAAACGATTTGTCAACTCATATAAAGCAATGAAAACGACAAGGGGAAGCAAGCCAAATGCCTCTCCCCTCGTCAACGAACTGCCTTGGACCCTCTTCCCTGGAATTCCTTTCAATGACTTAGGGATGTGAAGAATACGTTTTATCCCTTTCAACTTCTAAACAAGGGGAACGGCAAGAGAATGGGAGTAGAGAGCCCGGAGGAAATGCGGAAACAAGGAAGCTTCTTGCGCCAGCCGGTCCCATCACTCCTTCTCTCACAATGGCTAATTGAAGTGTTTGCGATGAACTTGAAAAGCCACAGAACAGGGCGAA